ATAGGGGTGGTTGGGGTCAGTGATGGGGATTGGGGTAGTTGGGGACATTGATGGGGATTGGGGGCAGTGATGGGGATTGGGGTAGTCAGGGGTGGGTGTTGGGGTAATTCAGGATGAGGTGTCACATATCGGGGTGCAGCACACACACTTCCTGCAGTCATTCATCGATGTTGCCCCTCCCCCCCTTGTAGGGCTCGGAGTCCGCATTGCCATCACCCCTCCCCCGGGAGATCTCCATTAGAGATATGGATGATGTGTATCAGGGAATTGGGTCCTCCAGCTGTACACAATCCATCATCATCATCCTCCTCCTCCCAGCTGCTCACTAATGGCGGCACTCTAAATAATTACTATCATTAGCAGAAACAGATGGAGGTGGGCGGAGCCTCCTTGGCCATCTTCTGGGCTATCTCTGGGTGTTCTGGGAGGATCTGCAATGCTGAAACAGATGGCACCCCACATAGGAGGAGGACGGGTATCAGAGTCTGGCGGGTTTCTGGGTATATTAGAGGGGGACTTTAAGCGCCACCTCTTATTTCCATTAAGCTCCTCCCTGTTTGCCAGAAAGTCCCACCCTTAGCCCCTCCTTTAAGAGCCACATCATGTCTCAATGAGGCCCCGCCTCCTGAACCCCATTGAGATCCACATCCTCTCTCAATTAGGCCCCACCTCTTGAACCCCCAATAAGAGCCACATCCTCTCTCAATTAGGCCCCACCTCTTGAACCCCCAATAAGAGCCACATCCTCTCTCATTTAGGCCCCACCTCTTGAACCCCATCAAGAGCCACATCCTGTCCCAAGCCCCGCCTCCTGTGCCCAGTTAAACTCCAGAAATATTAGCTGTGCTCCACCGCGAGGAACCCCCGACCCTCCCTGTGCTTCGTGCTGACAGTGGCGCGAGGATCTGCAGAACGTTCATGGTGTGATCCCATCGGGCCAGACATGTAAGTTTAATCACGGCCTTGTATCTGGGGAATAATATCAATCAGGAGTATCAATTTACATTATCAAAAAACCCCACCCCCAATAAAAATCAGCCTGGGGG